AGTCTTATATAAACAATTATATTTAGAGCAAACAAGATAGTCGGCCAAACAAGAGCATCGTGAGGTAAATCAACATAGCAGGAACATCATGAGGTAAATTACAGAGCACACAGAGGAAAAAAAGGCGGGAAACAAGGAAACTCCCCCTTTACACTCACAGCAACCAATCACAGCTTAGATTACATCATGCAGGATAATGTCCTCACAACCTATCTTTGGAAACTCCCCCTTTACACTCACAGCAACCAATCACAGCTTAGATTACATCATGCAGGATAATGTCCTCACAACCTATCTTTGCAACTGAGCAAAGCTTGAAGAGTGAAGCTTGATCCTACTTAGCTTCTCAAGATTAGGGAGGAGTTGTGCTTCGTAAAGGTTTATGAAGGTCTTCTTTGTGTGTGCACAGCCCCAAAAGGATTGTGAGCATCATCCAATATCAGAGTAATGCAATGTAGAACAATACCTCCAAATGTCACAGAATTGTATGGCTGAAAGGCACCTTGGAGGTCTTCTAGCCCAACCCCCTGCCCAAGGCAGGAGTCCTTATATCATTCCGGATAAATGGTTGTCTAATCTTTTCTTGAAAACCTCCAGCGAAAGAGAACTCGCAACTCCATGAAGCAAGATGTTTTATTTATGAACCAGTAATGCTTCCGAATCGGATCTCGATAGGAGATATTATCTTTCCATCTTCATTCTTGCCAAGTCTAGAGCGTGGTAGAGGGTAGAATTGCTAGCGGTAGGAATAGCACTTAAGACTTATATACCACTTTACAGACCTCTCTAAGCGGTTTACAGAGTCAGCATATTACCCCCAACAATCTTGGTCCTCATTTTACCGACCTCAGAAGAATGGAAGATTGAGTCAACCTTGAACAAGTGAGAATCGAATTGCCTAACTGCAGTCAGCAGGCAATCAGCAGGTAACCTGTAGTACTGCATTCTAACCACTGTGCCACCATGGCTCAGAGCCTGTTGGTTACAGTCATGGCACAACAGTCACAGAACTTTACCAATCCAATATTATGAACCCTTTCACGGTGGTCGTTAAGAGAATAACCACATTTATTAAGCAAAATCTGCCATTGTTATGTAAACACCATGGTTCTTAAGCAAACTGATTGTTTACGATGGGTGCAGTTTTGCCAAGTGCTGGTTTTCTGCAACAACCATTACAAAATGGCCAGGTAACCATTGGATACTGTAAATAGCTCTGTTGCCAAATACCCGAAATTTCTGTTACATGAACGTGCGAATCCAGTTTATAAATCCCCTTTTTCGATTGTCACTTCGAATGAGGACTACCTGTATCAAGCTACTCCCATCTCCCTACCATCTTTTGTCTAAAAGTGCCCTATTATAGCTTCTTCTTCGCATGGATTTTCTGATGCCTGGACAGGTTAAAGGAACTTGAGAACGTTTTCTCGCACACGGAGCACCCATATGGCTTCTCACCAGTGTGAGTCCGCATGTGCTTTTTGAGCCCTTGGCTCCACCGGAAGCTCTGCCCGCACTCGGAACAGATGAAGGGCTTCTCTCCCGTATGCGACCGCTCATGTTTGGCAAGCTGCGATCGCTGAATGAAACTGTTCCCGCAGAAGGTACACTGGTGGGGCTTCTCACCAGTATGTGTCCTTTTATGGGTGGCAAAGTGAGAACTAGAAATGAAACATTTCCCACAATCCAGGCACTGGTAAGGTTTCTCGCCCGTGTGTATCCGTTTGTGTGTGGTGAGATGTGAACTGTAAGAGAAGCATTTCCCGCACTCTGTGCACTGGTATGGTTTCTCCCCGGTGTGAACTCTCTCGTGCTTCCTCAGCTGGCAACTTGAAATGAAACTCTTCCCACAATCGGAGCAGACATACGGCTTCTCCCCAGTGTGGGTCCTGGTGTGCACAACAAGATCTGACTTTTGATTGAAACTTTTGCTGCAGACGGCACATTGGTGAGGCCTCTCTCCTGTGTGAGTCCATTTATGTATCACCAGATGCCGCATCTGACTGAAGGTTTCTCCACAGTCTGCACATTTATAAGCCTTCTCCCCTTTGTGGGTTCCCTCGTGGATCACTAACTGCGGTCTGTATCGGAAACTCTGGCCGCAGTCTGAGCAACGGTACGGTTTCTCGCCCGTGTGAACTCTCCGGTGCCTCAGGAGGTTGCAGTGAGTGCCAAAGCTCTTTCCGCACTCGGAGCACTTGTAAGGCTTCTCCCCAGTGTGAGTTCTCTCATGGATGAGGCGCCCGATTTTATCACTGAAGGTTTTGCCACACAATGAGCATTTGTAGGGCTTCTCTCCTGTATGGAACCTCTCATGGATAATCAGAGACTCCTTCCGGGTGAAGCTTTTCCCACACTCTGAGCATCTGTGGGGTTTCTCCCCTGTGTGGGTTCGCTCGTGAATAATCAAGTGGGCGCGGCAGTCGGAAAGCTTCCCACAATATTGGCATTTGTGCAGTTTTTCCTTCAGTGGGACTTTCTGGCTCCTTGAAGGAGAGTCAAAAGTGGCCTTCATCCTCCTGTTGCTGTACATTCCCTTGGGCAAGTCTGTCACTTCTCCGAGGAAGTACTCTTGGCGGTCAGAGCTTCCTAGAAGAACAAGCAATTTAGTGCTTATATTGCACAAAAATTCAACTCAAATCTCTTCAGAGTGGCACTCAATGCCTGCTAATTTCATGGATTAGTCGATACAGGTGTTTTGACAGCAACACAGAAACTACAGGTAGACCTCAACCTACAGCAGTTCATTTAGTGACTGTTCACAGCATTGAAAAAGTGGAATATTCAGAGTCGGTTTTCACCTGTGTCAATAAGGCATGTCAAATAAAACTATTCTTTGAGAAAATTAACTGCCTCGGAAGTTTGTTTGCTAAGGGTATGTTACTTGGAACCTGACATTAGAACTCTTCTAAACTTCCCACTCCAACCGGAGCCGCTATCCTAGGTCCTGTGCCCTGGCCACTTACCCAATGTACCTGGGCAAGGGGAAGACTCAGGGAAGATAGAGAAGGGGATTGAAGGCGCGGCGGCAGCCTACGGGTTTTGCGGGGGCCCTGTTGAGAGTCTGCCAACCCGCTTGGAGACACAGCAAGTGGCAGAAGCATGGTGGAGATCGCGTGCTAGGCAGGTGCCCGACCCAAGATCTGCACCGTGGTCGGCCGCCAAGGAGGTCTATCAGGTGGAGGGAGACATCAACCACCAACCTGCATTCCAGGAGCAAGTGAGGTATCGGCCCCTGACTTGGACAAAAGAATCACGGACCACAATCCTTGACTGTAGGTTGATGGTGCCTGTAGACCTTAGCAAATCTGGGGATTGGAGATATCAAACCGCAGCACCTAGCCAGATCCAGGTGGCACGCAGAGCCATTTGTCAGGGCAAAAAAATCTGATTCTTCCCTGACAATCTAGGGAGATGCATAAAGGAGCCGATGGAGACTGTTATGCCCTGCCTCACCTAAAGCAACTGAATCACTTGGACAATTGCAACGTACAATTATTAAGCATGTGAAATGTTATGGTGCATATTGGATTCTCAGCAATACATTGACAGCTTACTCAGCAGCTCTGAACTAAAACTGAACCACAGTTGATATACAGTTGGCTAACTATGCTACAAAGGTATAGAAAGAGCAAGTCAACATGTGAATTTCAGTATGTTAAAATATTTTTGATAATCCCATCTGGGTGACCTCATCATTTATCCCTGTCTACTAGATCACCATGGCAGCTATGTTCACTGCTCCCTCGCTAGAGAATTTTAAGAAGAGACTGGACAGACCCTTGTCTGAAATAGTATAGGGTCACCTGCTTGAGCACGGGGTTGGACTAGAAGACCTCCCAACTCTGTTATTCTGTATCTTGGAATTCCTGCCTGATTCTTCCCCCTTTGGCCACTCAGGGTAAATTTAGCTTTGTGAATGTCTTATAATCATTCACTTATTAACTGTTTGAATTTACAACAGCACTGAAAAAGTGACTTACAATTGGTCCTTGCACTTAAAATTGTGTTAGAGTCTTCCTGTGGTGTTGATTTCTTTGGTCTGGTCTATCAAGTGGGACTGAGCCTGAGGGACCTTTGTGATGAATGAACATGAATAGTTCTCACTTAGTGACCACAATTAGGACAGGCAATTCTGTCAGTAAGATTTGTAGTGACAAGTACCTTCAAACACCCTAAGGGACATGATCAGGATGTAGTTTCAGATTGATCAACCTAGTTCTACCTACGCTTAGCAGATTTCATCCCCAGGTATTTCAAAGCATTTTGGTCTACTCACTGTCTCCATCCATGAGGACCTCAACTTTCACAATATCCAACGGCTCCAGTTCAGAATTGGAAGCCTCATCAGGCAAGTTCCGCAGATCCTGTGTGTGAGAAATGGAGACAATTAGAACACATCTTCTCAATATCAGCAAACAGCTGATACACAAACCAGGATCGATCCGGGATTCATTTCAGCCCTTCTTGATCTCTGGCAACATAATTTTCAAAGGCTACAAACCCACTGGGGTTCCGGAAGCAATGATGTGACACAACTAGGCTGCTTTAAAGATTGTTAAAGTCTTTAGGGAAACTACAGCTTAGTTGTCCAGAACAAGTTTAAAACATCCTAATTTTAATGGCTCAAACTGGCAATATATGGAGAAGACCATCCCTAAATCTGAGAAGAATGCCAGTCAAAATGGATCCTGTTTAGCCATTCCAATTTCTTAACTGCATTGTACTTTCATCGAATTTAGCACTGCGGGCAGATATTAATGCAGCAAATTAATTAGAAAGAGGAAACTTTTGTGAACTGCAATTGATGTCATCAGAATCATAGAGTGGTTCGAATCCTGTAGGACTGAAATTGAAAATTTACTTTTATGATGAGAAGAAGCTAAGGAATTCAGGTTGGTTATACAGTCCAGGTTATGGTATGTCTTAACAATTGTAATGTGTTAGAAACTGACTCTATGCGTTCAGACCTCTCTTGAACAGTACCACAGACCGAGATTTTGCTGAACTCACAGCAAAAGATTCCAGCCATCTCCAAAAGGACTCACTTTAAACAAAGATATTGATAAGATTAAGCGAGTTCAGAAACAGGCAACAGAAACTGTGCAGGATTTGAGGGTCAAAACATATCTGGAGGATCTGACTATGTACTGTCTGAAGAGAGGTGGTGGCTCAGTGGTTAGAATGGAATACTGTAGGCCAGTGTTGGCGAAGCTTTTCAGCACCGAGTGCCGAAACAGGAGCGGCCATGCGGGGCAGCACCGGAAACTTAAAGAGCAGCTCCCTAGCACATATGCACCACCTAGTTTTGGTTTCTGACACACATGTGCGTACAAAAACTAGCTGGCTGGCGTCCATGTGCGCACCGGAAACCAGAAGCTCAGCTTCACAGCATGCACAGGGGGGCCAGGGAGTTAACTCTTCCTGTTTCCAGCACTCCTGTGCTTGTGAAGACCAGTTAGCACACTAGAACCCAGAAGGACAATGGGCAACAGCTGGCATGCCCATAGAGATAGCTCTGCATGCCACTTCCGGCATTTGTGCCATAGGCCCGCCATCATGGCTGTAGGCTAATCCTGCCAACTGCAGGCTGCCAGGAGTTCAGCAGTTCAAGTCACACCAGCTGAAGGTTGACTCGCTCTTCCATCCTTCCGAGGTCAGTAAAATGAGGAGCCAGATTGTTTGGGTGGTGGTGGTGGAATATGCTGACACTGTAAACCATTTAGAGAGGGCAGTAAAGCCCCGTGTATATAAGTCTAAGTGCTATTGCTATTGCCTGAAAGACAGAAGAAAAAAGGACACGATTGAAATCCTGAAACATTAAGGGTACGAATAAGATTCTAGAAGGCAATGTTTTCAATTTTAAGCAAAAATCAAGAACACTGTGGCATAATCTCAAACTGACAGAAAGGAAGTTCAAAAGTATTGTTAGAAAGTATTACTTCCCAGAAAGATTATTGCCAGAGGAGGGTAAAAGAGTTTAAACGTACTTGAGATAAACACATGCCTGTCATCCGACAAAAATTAAAAAAATAACTCAAAGGAAAGACCCAAATGGCTCACTAATCTCTTCTTCTGCCATCGGTTTTCTATGTTTCCATGTCTCAACATATTCACTAGGTTTATAACCCATTACAATTGCTGTTTGATAAGAGCCTTTTAACCAGTTTCTCATGGCTCTGTTTTCTGACATCTGCATCCCCAAATCTGTCTCTCAAAACTAATTAAAATTTAGCCATGATGAGCATCCGGTGATGAGCTGCTGTTCACAAAAGCTGATGTCTTTTAATAAAAAGTTTTACGTGGAAACACATCATCAGATTCCTCCTGAATTTTTCATCATTAAAAATACTCCCTTGGCAGGCTATAGGTAGTCCTCAACATACAACAGTTCATTTAGTGACCGTTTGAAGTTACAACAGCACGGAAAAAAGCGACTTATGACCATTTTTTACACTTATGACAGTTGCGCCATTCCAACAGTCACATGATCAAATTCAGAAACCTTGGCAACTGACTCACATTTATGAGAGTTGCAGTGTCCTGGGGCTATGGGGCTCTCTATGAGAGAGCCGAGGTGGCGCAGTGGTTAAATGCAGCACTGCAGGCTACTTCAGCTGACTGCAGTTCTGCAGTTCGGCTGTTCAAATCTCACC